ACCTCAAATTAGGGTTTCATGTTGCATCAAGATACTTAAGTCCAAGGGATCCCAAATTCTCATCATTGTCCTAATATATTCCCAAGATCATTCATGTCAAGTTTCAAGCCTTGTAGAGAATGTTTGCTCAGTCAATTGCTCAAAAGCCTGAAAATCGACTATGCTAGGGCAAAAGTCAACTGTGGCCCACATACAGTCAAACTTCAATATTTTTGGTCAACATCCTCATTTTGAAGTATACTACATCATTTGTTCAAGGGTTGATCATGATTCATCAAGGATTTCTCACAATTCATCAAGAACCAAAAGTTGCTAAATTAGGGTTTTTGCAGGAAAAGTCAACTCAACTTTGACCAAGCATAACTTTCTCATACTTTATGAGAAATGAACCATCCAAAGCTCATTTTGAAGAGGATGCAATGCTCTACAATCCATATTCATCTCCAAAGTTAAAAATATGTACTCACAAGAAGTTATGAATTTGGACATTATAGGTCAATTTGAAAAGTCAACAAAAACACATTTTTTTTGTCAAAGCTTCATATATGAACATGGAATACCAAATTGAGATGAGACTAAAAGGGTTGCTTAGAGGACATCTCAAGATTTCTAAAAAGTCCAATAACACCTTCAAAGAGTAAAAGTTTAGGAAGTTATGCATTGGTGAAGTTGACCCTTTTTTGCAAAATTGCCAAAAGTCAACTATGCCTAAAATTGCAATTTTTGCTAAATGGGCCTAACTTTTTGCACTTGTTTTGAGTTGGCAACATGGTCCACGAGCCCTAGCCCTAGCCACTTGTCATTATCTTGTTTTTATTATTTATTTTGATTTTAATTTGAATTAAATCAATTTTAATCAAAACAAATCATGAGAAAATCCAAAACATTGAAATCTCAAGATTTTGCACATGTTTCAGGTCCTATATCCAGCTAGCATGAGACTAAATTCGTGTAAAGGCTTGGAGTGCACAAAAGATTGGTTTTAGGCTATTTTTGGAATGCTTTTCAAAGGAATCAAATCAAGATCAAAATCAATGATGGAGGAAGATTGAGATCATATTTTGAACCCTAATCCCATCCTTGATATATATTGAACATGTGCAGACCTAAAACAAGGCTGGAGAGAGGCGCAAGAACAAGAACAAAACTTTAAAAAATCACAACAAAGTGCTGAGTCGAATTCATTGTTCCAGACAATTTCAAGACCCTTTAACCATCCCAATCGCTTCCTGGGATCACCAGCAAGCAAAACCAATCAAGAACAAGTACTCCCAAGCCCTATAACTCACTGTAAGTCATCCATGACTTTGGCTTTTTCTTGAATTCGAAACGCATCATTCTGACACTTATAGCATGAAATAGTTATAGATACTTACTCCTTGAAGCATTTTTAAGCTTTCTGTAATATTTAATTGTGTTTTCATAGACTGTATTAGATTTCACCATTGCTAGGGTTGGTTGCTTCGATTTGGGATTTTTCCATACAGGTGAAATTGGGCCATGAAAGGGACAACATTGTGTTCAGCAGGTCTAGACGAAGCTATCCATGGCCTCAGTTTTTATTTATCATTCTTGTATTGAATTTTGAGATTTGCAGGACCTGTAGCTACGGACATAGTGTCGTAGGTAAAGGTTTCCAACTTTTACCAACGGAACAAGGACAGGGATGATGGTGTGGCATCATCCTGTTGGCCCATTAAAACTTCTGGCGCATGTTTTCATTATTCTCCACTAACTCCCTTTATTTGCATATTATTTATTATTGTTATTCTATGAACAAATGAAACGGCTAGCTCAGTTGGTTGCCAAGCGTTGGCAAAAGGCATCAGGGCCTGGGTTCGAATCCCAGGTCCCCCAATTTCTTCATATTATTTTCTTTCAGGTAATCCAGCATGCACACAAGGCCAAGGTCCACCATGTGACCTCATCATCCAACCTGCCAAGTGGCCAGATGGCCAGATCCAAAGGCCATCAATGAAGGAGCACCAAAGGCATGGTCAAAGCAATGCATGGGATCTCAGAAGGTCAACGTGGACCTTTGTTTCTTGGGCCCAGATTGCTTGCAATGCACCCCCATATTACTTTTGCAGGCCCAACTTTCTTTTCTCCATTCTTTTATTTTTCTCAATTAATTTACTTATTTATTTTTACTAACAAATTAATTATTTTCTTTTATCAAAAAATCAAAAATAATATTTTTCATCCAATTAGGTTTAAGTTTATTTTTCATAAAAAATTAATTAATTAATTAGGATATTTGATCTTAGATAACTTTGATTATTTTGTAAATAAATTTAAAAATAATTAGAACAATTAGGGTTTTGTTTATAATTTAATTCTATTTTCTTTTTCTTAAAAATAATAAAACACAAAAAATAGGCCATTTATTTATTTTCATTAATTAATTTAATTAGATAATTAATTGTGTATTTAATTTTAAAACTTAATTATTTTTCTTAAAAATAATTAAAAACAACAAAAACATTTTTCTTTCGATTAGGTTAGAAAGGGTCAAAACCCTAATTCTCTCTCGTTCTTAATTTCTTCGTGCGCGCTTTATTATTAATTTTTACCATATTAATGTAATTGCTCACAAGTTGTAATAGTTTAAATTATGACTTTTTACTTTCATTTGTCGCTTTATTTTTTAAGGGTTTGTTTTTGGCTATGTAAATACCCGAAGCCTTGTAATAGCTTAGCTTATTTTCCGCACTTTAAATTCCGCAAAATATTAACTATTAGATGTATGAATAATAGGGATGCATGACAAGAATGTATGATTAACTTTAAAACGGTTAGCTAGCCCTAAATGTGCAAAGATGATAATTTGAAATTGAATCACTCGCACATGCGCACTCCTAGGGTACACTCCCACTTCGGTTGCCTTCGGTAAACAGTCATTGAGTATAGGATATTTTAGTGGTCGCCCTTTTGTCTCAAAGATCAAAGTTTCCTCGGAAAAGTTACCTCCGATATTGTTGCCTCGAATAATTGATCTAAGACATTAGGGTTATTACTAAGACGTTCTAACATTGCTTTAGTGATTGTACATCCCTTTTGAATTGACCCTCAAACTCCAACGACGGTGCTACCTACTCACTAATAGTGGGATAGCGCTGCCTAAAGGAAATGAACATAGAACGATTCTTTTTTTCGAGTAGGTAGGTTAGTTCTTAAGTACTTGCTCAATCCAAACAAACTTTTTCACACTTACACTCTTTTCAAACAAAGTTTTCAAAAACACTTCGTAACACTCTTGAAGACAGAAGCAAGGGTTAAATCAAAGTCATAACCAAAAAAAAACTTTTCAAATCACACAAACACACAAAGAAGCAATTTTGAAAATGATGAGAAAGTACCTAAGAGCCCGTAGATAACTACGGATAGAAAGGGTGCTAATACCTTCCCTTTCTATAATCTACCCCCCGTACTCAGAAAATCTCGAAAAAGGAATTTTTCTGTGCTTTTTTCCTTTCCTTGTTGGATAAAATAAAAGTTGGTGGCGAATCTTACGTACCGCGACATTTTGCAAACACAAACGCAAAACGCAAACCAGCATTCCTAAAAACAGTCCCGGTTCTAGCCACTGTATCACAGCTACCGTGGTACGGCTCATATATTTTGTTTGTTTGTATTTTTTAAATGAACACTGTTGCATTCGACCATTCCACCGCTGCTTGACCTTTGGAGACTTACGGCCTGTAGTGGAAAGGAGCTAACATGCTCTTAGAAGAGAAAAGCCGAATGGCGAAAAGAAATGGATTGATTGGTATTTTTTATCATGAAAATAATTTTGTATGCTTAACATTTTTTATTCATTTGCCAAGAAAAAGAAGTTTTAGTTTTAAATGCAATTATGCAAAAATGGGAAGAAAACATCTAAGGGAGACTAACCTATCTCTAACCTAATGTTATCATACAAAGAGGGGTCCTATCTAAGTTAGCATGCCAAAGAAAGTCTAACAAAACTATCCTGTAGGGAACATGCAATGAGAGCGAAGTCGTGATCTCAATTTCTCAATTGAGTGACTCATCGATCAACAAGAAATAAAGGAAAGCGATAAAATTCTATAGGGAGCATGCACTGAGAGCGAAGTCGTGATCTCAATTTCTAAATTGAGTGACTCATCGATCAACAAGAAAGTAAATAAACACAAGCATAACACATATAGAAAATGAAGTGTGGAATGCCTGCTATAGGTCTTTAAACAGCGACTTCGAGCGTACACTCTTTATTTCCTACTTCTCATGATATCTAGAAAAGCGATAAATGCGTAAGTATAACTTGGAAGCAGTGTAATGCCAAACGAACAATGACGTTCGCAAAAAGTGCAACCAAAGAAAAGAAACCCGGAACACTTCGCGTGAGCTGGCATCAATAAACAAACAGTCAAAGACCGAGTACACAGAATAAGTGTCGAAGCATCCTCGATGTGAAAATAAATCACGATCATAAGCTCTAGCATATCTGTATATCACACAATGAACCTGCATAAGACTAAAATCTTGACAAACAAAGGTGAATCACAAATCTCGAGTAATTAGATAATCATGATTTGATTCCTAAAATCTAATAAAAAAATCTAACAAATTTTATTGATTTTATCATCTGGAAAAAATTCAAACAAATCTAAACAATTAACAAAATTATTCAAAAGAAGTTGCAAATAGAATAAACCAGGGGGGTGCAAGCCAAGATCCAGAAGTGTACTGTAGTAAATTGGGCGCAGAGCCCAAGCCCAATAGGTTCAGAATAGTGGTTTTTTTCCTTTTTGTGTTCACAAGCTATTTTGCTTCAACAAAATGCACGGGCTTCATGGACATGCCGGTAGAAAGGCCATCGTGTGTAATCCAAAGATTCTTTCATTCAGATTTTGTTTTTACGATTATCATAAAAAGAATAAGTTATAAGAAGATAAAAAAATCCAAAACGGGTGTGTTTAACATCCACCAAGACTCTTTAGCTTCCACGTTCAACTCAAACCCTACCTCTGTTCAAAATGATACGCCACCAGACCGGCATGCCTTACGGTGGCGGCTGCGACGACCACAACCTAGAAGCGCAAATTGGTAACACTAATCACTTCGTCTCGCTCCCTTCGTCTCAAATCCAGCCTCGACTTTCTATGATTTCTCCTCAACCTTCCTACATCTGACTGAATGTGAACCAGAAACCCTGATCCAAGCTGCTATTCCTCAACGTAATGATCCTCTTACTTCTAACTCTACAGTTATTGATTCTACTTTGTTCTACACTCGTCTTCTCCTTCTTCATATTTCTGTAATTTCGGATCTTTGTATATTCTGTGTGTTGCTGATTTGTGCTACAATTTGCAGTGTTTGATGAAGTTGCGGTTGTTGACGTAATTCAAAGGTGATGTAATTCGTGATGATGAAGGTGAAGCAGGTCGAAGAAGAGGATGATGTTGTGTTGAAGATTGGAGAAGATGATGCAGGTTTTTTGATTCACAGATGAAGAGGGTTGAAGAATATGAGGATGATGCACTTGCAGGGAAATTATAGAGAGCGTTTTTTGGTGAGTTCTCTCGTGTGTTTTTCTCTGTTTTTCTTCTGAATGAATTTCTTGAAGATTTTTTTGAGTTTTTGTGATTGGTCAAAAAATGAATCCCCCTGGATCTGAGATGCGTTCTGTTATATGGATCTCAAAGTTTGTTAGATTTCAGTTAATCTGAGCTATTGAATTCCTGAAGTTTGTTAGAGGAATGGATGGTTTGGATCAATTTCTGTTTCTGAGTTAATATGAAATAAAAATTCTATCAGGAGTGAACTGTCAAATTCTGTTTTTTGTTCAGACTTTCAATCTCACGGTTTCTTTTTCTGATATTTCCTTTTTATCTTTTGATTCTCTAATGCAGGGCCTTGGTTTTGTGTTCAGCGGCGGAAGATGCGAGTTTGTGGCTCGACTTAAGTAGAATTTAGAATGGCTAAACGGGAAGAACCGTGGAGGAGTAGATTGGTCCTATTCTGGATTCTGATTTAGACATAAACTATCGCCATCATTTTTTACACTATACTGCTCCATGAGTGAATCGTCGCCCCTGTTTCCAACAGAGGATCTGACTGAGAAGTTCCGGTCAGCGCATGGCCTATGACATTTAAATCATGACACCCTTTATTATCTGAATTAGAATCATTATCTGAATTAGAATCAGAGGGAAAACCAGTTCCATGTTCAATCATAGTCGTATGTGCAGCAAATTACCCATCATAATTAGTTCGTTGAAGATGCATCGATTGACTTTTCTCCTGCATTTTTAATTTTACTGTTAAGTTTTTCATACTCTTCCTTCATTTTCAACCAATCTTGTTTGAATTCTGCAAATCTTTGTTATCTACGGCTTTATCGCAGAAGTATCGAAAAGGTGCTCTACATTGTACAGTATCGTTAGTTTCATCTATATATTTATTATGACAAGGATCAACTCCAGATGCATGCTTAGGATAAATATTAGTCATCATACCAATACAACTTTCAAGAACCAATAGTGGGCCAGTAACCGCTTCACAAGCCATTAATTGACCACCTTCGCTACACTTTGTATCAAGACTTCTCTTTTTGTGCTTTTTCATTACGAGATTAATCTTTTTACCTTGGTACGCAACTGTATCACCTGGTATCTCTATCCCACAGCCATGACCAGTATCATCTTGAGCTTTAACACTACTAGCAGTCTGCTGGGAACATGGAACTTAAAGATTTAAAATGTTCCCAAAAGACTACTAGTAGTGTTAAAGCTCAAGATGATACTGGTAACGGTTGTGGGATAGAGATACCAGGTGATACAGTTGCGTACCAAGGTAAAAAGATTAATCTCGTAATGAAAAAGCACAAAAAGAGAAGTCTTGATACAAAGTGTGGCGAAGGTGGTCAATTACTGGTTTGTGAAGCGGTTACTGGCCCACTATTGGTTCCTGAAAGTTGTATTGGTATGACGACTAACATTTATCCTAAGCATACATCTGGAGTTGATCCTTGCCATAATAAATATATAGATGAAACTAACGATATTGTACAATGTAGAGCACCTTTTTGATACTTCTGCGATAAAGCCGTAGATAACAAAGATTTCATAGAATTCAAACAAGATTGGTTGAAAATGAAGGAAGAGTATGAACAACTTAACAGTAAAATTAAAAATGTAGGAGAAAAGTCAATCGATGCATCTTCAATGAACTAATTACGATGGGCAATTTGCTGCACATACGACTATGATTGAACATGGAACTGGTTTTCCCTCTGATTCTAATTCAGATAATGATTCTAATTCAGATAATAAAGGGTGTCATGATTTAAATGTCATAGACCATGTGGTGACTGGAACTTCTCAGTCAGATCCTCTGTTGGAAACAGGGGCAACGATTCACTCATGGAGCAGTATAGTGTAAAAATGATGGCGATAGTTTATGTCTAAATCAGAATCCAGAACATGACTAATCTACTCCTCCACGGTTCTTTCTGTTTAGCCATGCTAAATTCTACTTAAGTCGAGCCACAAACTCGCATATGCCGCCGCTGAACACAAAACCAAGGCCCTGCATTAGAGAATCAAAAGATAAAAAGGAAATATCCGAAAAAGAAACCGTGAGATTGAAAGTCTGAACAAAAAACAGAATTTGACAGGTCACTCTTGATAGAATTTCTATTTCATATTAACTCAGAAACAGAAATTGATCCGAACCATCCATTCCTCTAACAAACTTCAGGAATTCAACAACTCAAATTAACTAAAATCTAACAAACTTTGAGATCCATATAACAGAACGCATCTCAGAGCCAGGGGGATTCATTTTTTAACCAATCACAAAAACTCAGAACAATCTTCAAGAAATTCATTCAGAATAAAAACAGAGAAAAACACACGAGAGAACTCACCAAAAAACACTCTCTGCAATTTCCCTACAACTGCATCATCCTCATATTCTTCAACCCTCTTCATCTGTGAATCAAAAAACCTCCATCATCTTCTCCAATCTTCAACACAAAATCATCCTCTTCTTCGACCTGCTTCACCTTCGTCATCACGAATTACATCACCTTTGAATTACGTCAACAACCGCAACTTCATCAAACACTGCAAATTGTAGCACAAATCAGCAACAAACGAAATATACAAAGATCTGAAATTACAGAAATATGAAGAAGGAGAAGACGAGTGTAGAATGGAGTAGAATCAATAACTGCAGAGTCAGAAGCAAGAGGATCATTACATTAGGGAATAACAGCTTGGATCGGGGTTTCTAGTTCACATTCAGTCAGATGTAGGAAGGTTGAGGAGAAATCATAGAAAATCGAGGCTGGATTTGAGACGAGGGGAGTGAGACGAAGTGAGTAGTGTTACCAATTTGCGCTTCTAGGTTGTGGCCATCGTAGCCGCCACCGTAAGGCATGTCGGTCCGGTGGCGTATCATTTTGAACGAAGGAGGTAGGATTTGAGTTGAATGTGGAAGCTAAAGAGTCTCGGTTGATGTTAAACACACCCGTTTTGGATTTTTTTTCTCTTCTTATAACTTATTCTTTTTATGATAATCATAAAAACAAAATCTGAATGAAAGAATCTTTGGATTACACACGATGGGCTTTCTACCGGCATGTCCATGAAGCCCGTGCATTTTGTTGAAGCCAAATAGCTTGTGAACACAAAAAGGAAAAAAAACCACTATTATGAACCTATTGGGCTTGGGCTCTGCGGCCAATTTACTAAAGTACACTTCTGGATCTTGGCTTTCACCCCCCTCGTTTATTCTATTTGCAACTTCTTTTGAATAATTTTGTTAATTGTTTAGATTTGTTTGAATTTTCTCCACATGATAAAAAATTATAAAATCAATAAAATTTGTTAGATTTTTTTATTAGATTTTAGGAATTAAATCATTTTTATCTGATTACTCGAGATTTGCGATTCACCTTTGTTTGTCGAGATTTGAGTCTTATGCATGTTCATTGTGTGATATACAGATGTGCTAGAGCTTTTGATTGTGATTTATTTTCACATCGAGGATGCTTCGACACTTATTTTGTGTACTCGATCTCTGACTGTTTGTTTATTGATGCCAGCTCACGCGAAGTGTTCTGGGTTTCTTTTCTTTGGTTGCACTTTTTGCGAACGTCATTGTTCGTTTGGTATTATACTGCTTCCAATTTATACTTCCACATTTATCGCTTTTCTAGATATCATGAGAAGTAGGAAATAAAGAGTGTGCGCTCGAAGTCGCTGTTTAAAGACTTGTAGCAGGCATTCCGCACTTCATTTTCTATATGCGTTGTACTTGTGTTTGTTTACTTTCTTGTTGATCGATGAGTTACTCAATTTAGAAATTGAGATCACGACTTCGCTCTCAATGCATGCTCCCTATAGGATTTTATTGCTTTCCTTTATTTCTTGTTGATCGATGAGTCACTCAATTTAGAAATTGAGATCACGACTTCGCTCTCATTGCATGTTCCCTATAGGATAGTTTTGTTAGACTTTCTTTGGAAAGCTAACTTAGATAGGATCCCTCATTGTATGATAACATTAGGTTAGAGATAGGTTAGTCTCCCTTAGATGTTTTCTTCCCATTTTTTCATAATTGCATTTAAAACTAAAACTTCTTTTTCTTGGCAAATGAATAAAAAATGCTAAGCATACAAAATTCTTTTCATGATAAAAAATACCAATCAATCCATTTCTTTTCGCCATTCGGCTTTTCTCTTCTAAGATCATGTTAGCTCCTTTCCACTACAGGTCGTAAGTCTCTAAAGGTCGAGCAGCGGTGGAATGATCGAATGCAACATTGTTCATTTAAAAAATACAAACAAACAAAATATATGAGCCGAACTACGGTAGCTCTGATTCCTCAAAAAGGATACGTAGGCATTGGGGTAGGGCCCAAGCGAGTACAACTTTAGTTTCCCTACATTCTTTCTCTTTTCCTTGCATGCATTCTCTCTTAGTTTATAACCCCTAAGCATTCGATTAAACACACCCTTTGATTAGAACAATGAGAGTGGATCCTGTAGAGTACTATGGACGTGTGGGGTGCTAATACCTTCCCCTCACGTAATCGACTCCCTTACCCAATCTCTCGGTCGCAAGACCTTGATTTCCCCTTTAGGTTTTTCTTTGATAACTTTCCTTTCCCTTTCATATGGGATAAATAAATACTCGGTGGCGACTTCATTGATTTTACAGCTACACAAGGCACGGCCTAAACTTGGAAGTAGGTTTTTTTTAGCTGCGGTCTTCTTAGCAACAACCTTTTTTTGTGTGGAAATGTTTCTAATTTCAGGATTATTACCCCTACCGACATCTTCATTCTCTTTAGCATGAATCTAATGATCATATAATTAGTTATGTGAAGTATAAGATCACGAATTAATATTTAATTAGTTACATGCATAAATATCATATAATTGTGATGTACCTCTTTTATTGATGCCACTGACTCGGATTTCCGCTGAATCCCCTTGTCTTTTGCTTTGGATTTTGTTGGAATCTAATTAACATAACCATGTAAAAACAAATGTACGTAAAATGCGCGTAAAAACTTTGATTACTCAAAGGTTCATATATATGGTTTTAAGCATACTTCATTATCTACACTAATGAGGCTTGATGGCCATGCAAGAAATGAATTGATTGCATCTCCCACAAGTGTGGAATCCGAAACATCTCCAGGATGTGGTAATAATGCATCCTTATCCAAAGAAATGCCAACCGATACTTTCAAACAACCAGTAGGGAGCGGTTTAGTGTGAAGTAATTCTTCCAAAGTGTTATGTACTTTTCCCTTGCCAACTATCCGATAAGTTGGTGGCGATAAGTAGAGATGACAAGGTGAAATGCCCTAAAACCAATAATAAATTTCAAATTGTTATTGTGTATATATTTCAATTAAATAAATTAAGCTACTTTAATTTCATAATGATATATATATAATTACCTAAGGAAGATTCGGTTGAAAATTACAACTGATACTACCTTTGTCACTAGTAGCTTTAAAACCTGAAGCTTGCTCTCTTAATTCTTTTTCCCTTCTCAATTCACAGACTTCAGCTTGTAGTGCTTCCAAGGTTTCCTGCAGTTCTTTATTGCTAGAGGTCTTTTGTGTTTTCATCTTCAAGGATTTTGGAGTGATTCCAAATCCCTTACCCCTCACCCGACCAGAATACTCACGAACATCTAATGCTCGACTAAGTATACTCCTGCAATCATTGTCTTCATCTGGACATATAGACTGAGATAGAGTCTTCTGAATTCATATGAATATTGAAAATTTGTCTTAATTATATGTTTCTAAACTTTTGATTTAATTAAAGAAATAATGCTATACTTACACATTTCTCAAAAACATTTTGAACATCTTCTTTGACAACTCCATCCTTACCCACACGGGCTTCCTTCCACAAAACATGGGCCATAAGAGATGTTTCAGAACTATTCTCCTTTGTTAACTACACATAAAGCCAAATAATATTATCAAATATAATTCATGATGAACAAGTATATCATTGCAATTTATAGATACTTACGATAGACTGTTATAAGTGTCCATATCCAATACGCCCTTTTCTGTATGGATACACTGGACTTGATGCTCTTTGCCGATTTGTTTCACTTACATTATGAAATTCTTGGGTTTTTCGTTTGGCTTTAAACGTTTCCCATTCTTTAGGTGAAACCAAACTTGCATATTTAGATGGAAGCTCTGCATCAACAAAAAATTTATCCTTGTTCCTAAGAAACTTGATATTTAAAAAAGTCTTAAACCCTCTTAGTATTTTTCCGGCCAATCGGAGACAAAAAGTTTTTCTAGTATCATCAATGTTGTTGAAAGACCTCTACGAAAAACATACACAGAGTGCGTTAGTACAAGTAATTTAAAGATATAATCATCATTAAAAACAAATTGGAACTTCATTAAATATGGCACCTGTATCTCACTCCAAATTTTTTCTTTAGCTTCTTTCAACTCTATTTTTCTCCAATCATCACAAGTAATTGGAACTTCATTCCTTACAAGTGCACCAATAAAACTTGTCACCGTTGAACCG